GATCATATGATAAGACTATGTTAGCTTTGAAAGGAGTTGGCCAACTCTCTTTTTAAATGGCTGTACCACTTTGCATTCCACCAGCAATGAATGAGAGTTCCTATTGCTCCACATCCTCACCAGCATTAGTGTTGCTAGCGTTTTGAATTGTAGCTCTTCTAATAGGTATGTAGTTGTAACTCATATTTTAATTTGCAACTCCCTATCACATGTGATGTTGAGCATCTTTTCATATGCCTATTTGCCATCTGTATATCTTTGATTAAGTATCTGTTCAGAGAGATCCTTTGCCCATAATTTCTTTCCTTATTGTTGAATTTTAAGAGTTCTTTGTATATTTGAAATACGAATCCTTTATCAGATATGTGTTTTTGCAAATATTTACTCCCAGAGTGTGGCTAGTCATTTTATTCTCTTAACTATGCTCTTCACAGAAGTTTTTAATTTTCATGCAGTCCACCATGTTAATTTTTTTGTTACTGGATTGTGCTTTTGGTATTGTACCTAAAAAAAAAAAAACTACCTAGATTTTCTCCTGTTACTTTCTAGAAGTTTTATAGCTTTACATTCTGTATTTAAGGTTATGATCCATTTAAGTCAATTTTTGCAAAAGATTTAAGGTCTGTGTTTAGACTTATTATTTTGCATGTGGATATTCAGTTGTTCTAGTACCATTTGTTGAAAAGATTATTATTTCTCCACTGAATTGCCTTTGTTCCATTGTCAAAGGTCATTTAATTATATTTATATAGGCCTAGTTCTGGGCTCTCTGTTCCATTTATCTAATTGTCTATTCTCTTGCTAATAGTACACTGTCTTTATTACTATAGTTTTGTAGTAAGTTTTGAAGTTGGGTAGCATAAGTCCTCTGACTTTGTCTTTCTTCTCCAACACTGTGTTGGCTCTTTTGGGTCTTTTGCCTTTAAATAAACTTTAGAATCAGTTTGTTATTAGCCACAGGTAACTGGCTCAAATTTTGGTTATGTTTGCATTGAATCTATGGATTAAGTTGAGAAGAACAGACATCCTCACAATATTGAGTCTACCTATCCATGAACATGGACTATCTCTCCATTTATTTAGATCTTCTTTGATTTCTTTCATCAAAGTTTTGTAGTTTTCCTTATATAGCTTTTGTGAAAATTTTATTTATACCTATTTGTTCTTTTTTCTTTTTTTAGTGATGATATAACTTTATTTCAAATTCCAATTGTTCACTGCTGGTATATAGGAAAGCAACAGTCTTTTTAAGTATTAATCTTGTATCCTTTAACCTTACTATAATTCAACCTTGCCATAATCACTTATTAGATCTATGAGTTTGTTGGAAGCACATTATTTTCTATTTAAAAAAAAATCAATAAAAATAGGAAGGAAAAGATCCATTAAAACTCCAAGCAAACCGAACAAATAAACCCACTTGTATTATGCGTAACATAACTATCCAGGAGGACAAAAAAATGAATTAATCAAAGTAACTGCTCAACATATCATTTGGCTATATACTCATAGTTGAGTAGTACAGAAACAATGCAACCCTAACCTCTTTTTAGAAGGTTTGTGTATTGTAGTTGTACAGGTGAAGCCATCCGAAATTAGTTTTAAGTGTATGGTAGAGTTAAGTAAATAAATATGTAGAGGTAATTGTTGAGCCTTCTTCCACTGTATTCCATACAGATATGGAAAGGGGCAAAGCAAGAAAAGAGGACTCTGTGGGAGTGCATTGGAATTGGAGGTATCAGTATGAATTCATGATTTCTAACACAATGGGAATCCTTCTGTCAGGAAAGACAAAGACAGGCTGAAGAGCTATACTATATTTAAGGAGACTAAAGTAGCATGATGACTAAATGCAATATGTGATCTTGAAGTGGGTCTGTACTGAAGAAAAGATATGCTACAAAAGACATTACTGGGTCATTTGATAAATCTGAAATACAGATGATACATCACAGTATTGCACCATTGTTAAATCTCCTGAAGTTGCTAACTCTACTGTGATTATTTAGTGAAATCTTGTATTTAGGAAATACACTTTCAATTATTTAGAGATAATGGGGCATGACATGCTACTTAGTCTCAAGTGGTTCAGAAAAATAATTTGTATACATTACATATCTATGCATGTGCATGTGTGTTTATGCACACACCACTCACTGCAAATGCACACGATAAAGTAAATGGGGCAAAAGCTTAACAATTGTGAATCTGCATAAAGGGTGTACAGGGTTTCTTTACGGTCTTCTTGCAACTTTTCCATAAGCATGAAATTCTTTCAAATAAAATATTTCTAAAAGGTTGCTGTTAGGCATGCACAAAAAATTTAAGGGTAATAGAGTAGACTTTTGAAAGCAGGAAGTATGATAACATCAAATATTTTGAAGGACTGTCATGTGGAAGGAGGATTGAGACTTATAATTTGGCTAATCTTATTTGGTGTCATTCTGGTTTGTGTAATATCATTACAGCATATCCAAGTGCTCATGGCTGAAATAAGATACAAGAGTTTTTAAGTTTTATGGAGTCTTCAGTATAATTCAGTACAGAGAGGTGCAAAATCATGTGATTCTGAGGGTTCATTGGGTAGCATACACGAGTGAAGGGCACTGAGTGCAGAAAATGGAAAATGGTGAGAACTTGAGAGCAATGTCTTTTCCAAATGCTTTCAAATGCGACTAAAGACAAACCCAAAACACTGTGCAGTAATCACAGGCTGTGTCCAGCCTGTGAGTGGCCAGTTGGAACCCACAATCTTATCTAATCCTTTTTGTCAGGTGAGGAAACAGGTACCAAACATCATAAAACAGTGTAAAAGAATGAAAGGTGTAAATGGGTGCATATATATTAAAAAAAAAAAAAACACCATTTTTAATGAAAGAAACTAATATCCACACATTTGTACTTATGTACAATTGGGGTAATATATAATTTTAAGCTGTTTACAAATAATATGTAATGCTTCAAATATTACATAAGGTTGATAATATATTTCTAGCAGAAATAAATATATTGCACTTAAAAAGAACTGCATTAGATGTTACTTCATAGTATTAGGCTTATAACTTTTTTCATAAAACATTTCCCATGCCCTTCCCCCCACCCCCAGCACACACATTTCATTACAGTGACTGTTCTCACGCAATTCATTAAGCAAATGAACACAGCAAACAACAGAACTGTGATAGTGTCTACTAAAGAGGCTATATCCAATTTTATCCTTTAGGAAATAAAACAATTTCTTTTAGGAAATAAAACAGTTTCTGAAAATAAGGGAGGAAAAAATCCAACTAAACACAATATTTTAATAAACTAGAAGTAAAATACAACTTGTATTTTTTGTCCATATGTATGATTTCACAAAAATGATTTTGTTTTCTTATCAAGATATTTCATTTACAAAGGAGAGGGTAATGAAGTTATTTGAGGGAAGGACAGAGAAAGAAGGGCTAGAAAATACATATGGAATATTTGCCGATCAAATATTTATAAATAAACCTTCCCATATTTAAGCATTCTGAAGAAAAGTAAGTCTTGGAATATTATAATTGGCATAGAATATGAGTAGCAAAGAAAGGATTTGATGGTTTTCTAAAGTTTAAGGAGTTTGTAACCTTCCCTTTGCGTGTTTACAAAAAAATCTGTAATTCTAAAATAACATAAAAACTTCTATAAAACCCATCCTCCAGCCAGGCACAGCTCTTTAAAGGAGAAAGCTGAAAATCTTATCATCTGTCCAGTGATCTGTCTAGATTTAGGGTAGAGTATTGCTTTGTTTGTAATAATTATCAATTTCCTACATGTTTAATAGTGACAACAGTTTTTCTTACTTAGTCACTGGAAGATTAAGTTGTTTTTCTTGCAATTTGTTACTCTGCACATTACATAACTGGATTTTTTGAACTTTTTAGTTACTGAGTCATGGCTAAGCTTGACTGAGTATTTAATGGGGTGTAAAGTCATTTCATCCTCTTTATTCAAAAGTGATTTTTCTCAATATAAATCAGCTTATATTTAAGCAGGACAGCCTTTCAGGCTGTTTATCCCAACATCCTTTTGAAAAAGGCAGCATGGGATAAGGATGCTTTACTTCTAAGAATATTTATTCCTTGGCCTTTCAGAGGGTTTTTTTTTTTTTCTTTTTTGGTGGGAAGGGAGCAGTTAGAGAGGAAAGTATGTGTTGTGGCTGGAGAAGCACAATGACAGAGATATGGATAAGGAGGGGAGACCTTGGAATGCCCCAGAAGTCAGTGTAACTCCTACAATATAGCTGTACACAGGGCCTTTGCTAGATGATGATTCATCAGGAAGCTTCTTAATATCTCTTACTCTGTGCCCACCTACTAGGAATGACGGTAGGCCTTCTGGACAAGTTACCATTGTTATTAACTCAAAAGATCCAGCAATACAATATAAGCTCATTAATCTACATCTTGTTAACTAATAATCTGTGATGTGTTAGACAAGTTGGATATGTTTACCTACATATTGCTAAGGGTAGACAGAGGAGAGGAGAAGACTAAGTTAGTAAAATAAAAAAAAAAAAAAAATTGAGGCTGGGCGCGGTGGCTCACACCTGTAATCCCAACATTTTGGGAGGCTGAGTGGGCAGATCACAAGGTCAAGAGATCGAGACAATCCTGGCCAACATGGTGAAATCCCATCTCTACTAAAAATACAAAAATTAGCTGGGCATCGTAGCGCATGCCTGTAATCCTAGCTACTCAGGAGGCTGAGGCAGGATAATTGCTTGAACCCAGGAGACAGAGATTGCAGTGAGCCGAGATCGTGCCACTGCACTCTAGCCTGGGAACAGACTGAGACTCCGTCTCAAAAAAAAAAAAAAAAAATTGAATCTACTCAGAATTATTGATATTTTAAAAACAAACCACAACTGCAAAACCTATTAAGTCCTGAATTAATTCCTCAGGATTAGATAAAGCACGTCTGGCAGGACCTCTTTTTAGCAGCACTTCCCATTAGCCATGCTTTTTGACACTATAGTATACTCGTGGCGTGGGGAGAGAGGTGGGAGGAACCCTGAATATATGCCAAATATATTATAATTCATGGCCTTTATTATTCAATTGGCTTTTCCATTAAATATGTAGTTCTTGAAATTACTTTTGCCAGAATGGGCTTTGGAATTTTAAATACTAAACTCCCAAGGGTTTAATAAGAATCAACCACCAGGATACCTCAGAAAGGCCCAGGGAGGGGAAATTTCTACCCCTTGGTTTCCATGACTCAAGTGACTCTGATGAGGTTAAGCTCTATTTCACTTGTGCTTCTTTTCTCTGGTTCGGATGATACTTAAAAATATACATCCAATTTAGATTTTAGGTCTGACTAGTCTTTGTTTTCTCTAAGCACTCTTATTTATAGTCTTATATTGCTTAATTACAAAATAAAATTATGAAGTCAGGAAATACTAGTGTAAAACCATGTTTAACAAAAACACACAAATATCTTTGAGATATGCAAATTGGCAGAAATGTATGTATTAAATGTATGTATCAAAACAGTATGTATTAAAACAATCTTTTCATCCTGTTTGAAAATAAAATTCAGACACAGATTTTACCTTAGTAGACCAGTAAGTTATCAGGGTATTGAGTAGCATTATGTAAAACAGCATCTTTTGTTATTCCTGCTTTAAGCAGCAGTACTCTATATTCAAAAGAGCACTGGCAACAGGCCAGCTATTAAATAGTAAACCCCTATCCTAGCTCTACGGATAGTTTAAACATTACTCATAACAGGTTTTTTAAAGAAATGACACCTGTACTTTGTTTGAAAACAAACTACCTGTGGATACTACAGCATAACATGCAACAAGTTAAAAATTAGCCCACTGTGTTTGCTGTAGGATCGTGAGATGCTTTGTTAACACAGCCTATGCTTTTCTGTAAGTAAACTTCAGAGTATAGTGGAGGATAGCAAGTGCAAAATCCAACAACAGCATCACCTAGACAGGCTGTGCCATGATGCCTTGTTTCACAGGCTGGAAGTGCCCAGAAAAGCATGTGATATGGAAAAGGCTAACATTAAAACCACCAAATAAAATCCCACGGGAGTCTGATGTGATAAGTATATTGCATTTCCCCCAAAATACACTTCTACTGTCAGTGGAAATATTTCCCATCTCTTTTAACAGATTCAATACTTTTGTAGCAAGAAGAGTAGAATGAATATTACATACAAAAAATTAAAATAGAGTTTTGGAGAAATTTGCTAAGACGACAGGTTACATCCTGTAGTTGAAGTGCATTAAATCTGAAGTTGAAAAACTATTAATTTCATTAAATACGTTATTAGGGAAATAAATTGTTGCAAAATGCCAAATGTGTTACCCTGACTGTAAATGCTTTTATATATATATCTATATATGCTGTTCAAAAACAATATACAGGTCATATATAACTAAAATATAATTTGTTGCTATTATAAACATTAAAGGAAGGCTTAAGAAGATAGCAAAAGTTTAAAATAAAGTAGAAGAATGCTTTAGTTGACTTATAAGAACTGCTAACATTTCAGTTATGAAGCCATTATGTTATCAAGCAATTTAAGATTACAGACCTAGCAAAATGGTACAGGAGTCACTAAATGTAACACAGTAAGGAAAAAGGCCAAATTAGATGTATGGACACGTTTCCACTCAGGAGCACAGGTTAAATCATGGCTATCCTGGCATTTAGAATGGTCATTCTCAAATCCTTGTAAATCAGTGGCAGCAACAACAAGGCAGATTTACTGAAAATGAGAATTTGTCCAGATGCATTTTAACATCTACAAGGTCTCCCAAAACTAAAGGAAAATGAAGGGACCTCTGGCACTAATGGCAGAGAAATCCTTTTGGAATAGAATCACCATCCTTCTGTTGCAGCTGTAAGTGAAAGCAAGCCTCACATAACATCATGCCTAGGCTTTGGAGAGTTCCTCAGTGAATTAGTCAGTAGTGTGTTTAGAACGCAGCCCAGAAAAATCAAACTTCAGTTTTACCATGTAATATAGAGAGGCTCTTGCTTCAAAACTGTACATGGAAGATTTTTCCTCCATAACCCTAGCCCCAACCCTAACTCTGCCAAGTATTTGCAATAAAGAAAACTAGGAAGAAAGAAGACTGTGAAAACCAAGCTTGTTGGTTACTGGCCCTTCAGTATTACAAATAGAACTTTGTGAGGTCATTACCATGTATTCATCCACAAAACAGGATGCATTAGCATTATCTCAGCTCCTTTCCCAGCAGACTAACACAAAAGAAAACTGAACATGCTTATGCTACGGCACTACAAGTATTTCTCTACTGGCTCCCCTTTTCTACAGGGATAAATTGACTTCAGTTAGTCATTATGGTCAGTATGCTATATAGTATGGCCTCTTTGAAGATTCTTTTATCCTGTGAAAAGCAGAAAGAAACCCTATACACATTGATTTTATACATTACCGCATCAACACAGCGTTTTAACCATGAGGAATAATGCACTTTAAGATTCATCAGCCTTGTATTATTAAACTTTCAGGCTGGCTGAGAACTTTACATGGATTCTCTCCTGAACCCAAGAGCTGTCCCTCAACTACAGATGAATCCTGGTCCGTGGTGCATTCCCTCAGTGGTAGGTTTTATTGTGAGTCCAGCTCTCCTCTTTGATAGGTCCTGTGTCTCCTGGAAAGCCCCTGCTCCAATACCCCACATCCCACCCACCCAGCCCTGTCCTATATTTCCATACCCATTTGCGCATTCTGGGTCTCCATTTTTTGAAGAGTCATACAAATGGCGTCATCACAGCAGAGGAATGGCGTAGTCCTTGAATGGCAGCATAGGGCCCCTGCTGAAAATAGTGATGGTATCGCGGCATGTGGAATGAAGGGAATGTGGGGCCACTCCCTTGCATGGAGCTGGCAATGGCCGATGGGGTCAGAGGCATTCCCAGTCGGCTATATGGTGGCAGAGAACCCTGGATGGGGTGAGGAATGGGTGTTGCTATGGATGCTGTGCTGGTGCCAAGAGCAGTCAGGGACTGTGGGTGCTGAAACCCAGGAAAACTGGAAGAAGATGATACCCAGGAGCTGAGAGACAAATTATCAGATGTTGTAAAGGCTGACCCTGTAAGGAAAAATACTCATTAGACTGGAAACACTGTGTCAATGTACAGATCAAGAATTAAATTATCTGTAAAGATCAATTTGTGTTTAAGAATATTTAATACATCTGTAATTTAGAAAGACAAACACACATGAGATCTGTCATAAGGCAAATCCACCTTTCTAGATAAGAAGATGTATTTACACCTCCATGGAATAGAGAATTTACTAAATGGAAAAAGACAACTCATTGGATAGCCTGCAGCCTCCCACAGAGTGGCTAAAACATTAATACCCTGACTGCAGTTAATGACCTGATTCTCTTAAAAGAAACTGCAAATACCTGGTATCTGTTCTGACCTCTGTAATGTCATAAGGAAGACTGAATGTATTAAATCTCTTCTAAGCTGTCTGGTTTCCAAAACTGTTGTGAGAACCTAAGAAAGTAAGTTTTCCTACCACAGCATCCAGAAATGTAGAATAGAGTTGACACTGAATTTTCTGACTGTACACAGTTGACCCTTGAACAACAGCGGTTAGAACCGCACGGGTCCACTTACATGCAGATATTTTTAAATACAATTTACACTGAGTGTGCCTGACCCCTCTTGCCTCACTTTCACCTCCTCCACCTCTTCAGCCTCTACAACCTCCGAGACAGCAAGACCAACCCCTCCTCTTCCTCCTCTGCCAACTCAGTGTGAAGATGAGGATGAAGATCTTTATGATAATCCACTTCCACTTAAGGAATAGTAAATATATTTCCTTTCTATGATTTTCTTAATAACTTTTTCTCTAGCTTGATTTATTATTAGAATACAGAATGTAATACATGTAACACACAGGATATGTGTGAATTGACTGTTTAAGTTACAGGTGAGGCTTCTGATCAGCAGTAGGCTATTAGTAGTTCAGTTTTAGGAAGTCAAAAGTTATATGCACATTTTGGACCACACAGGAGTTGGTTCCCTAACCACTGTGTTGTTCAAGAGTCAACTGTAATACTAGTGGTTCACTTGGACTGAGTAATAAGAAATGTCCTATGTTTTCACAGATTATATAATTTCATATTAAGGACATAAAACAATGACAGAGGACTCTCTCCCCATACGAACTTCCCTGTTCCCAGAATGGAGCACCTCTGAGCTCTTTTCTCTGGACTCTCTTCCCAGAGGCAGAGGGTTGCTCTCTAAGCCTTGGGAACAGAGAAACTTTGTTCAGTTCCTGCTGTCAACATTGGGGCCACTGCCTCTATGTAATATCCTTCATTAGGAAAATCCTCTTTTAAAAGTGTTTTCTATTTTGGTCTTTGATTCTAACAAATTATTCCTGACACAGATGGAACAGATATATTCCCTGATTTTCAGATTATGAAACTGAGGTTCAGAAGGACTTGGGGACTGCCCCCAAAGTTCAACAGCTCTTATGTACTACATCATGGACAAGTAACTCCTGATCCCTGACTCAAAGGCTCAGTTTCTTTCACTAAAAAAAAACAAACCACAGGAAACCTGCAGGCAGCATCATCGCCTATGATTCAAAGGCAAAATAATGAAATGTGTGAGAATCAGTGTAGGGGCTCTTCCTTCCCAGCGGGGCTCCTGAAATCCTTTCCGGGCATCGTGTACTCTGAGGACTGGCCGTCTCATCAATGGCCTGCCCCCATTCTCCTTTCGGTGCTCTGGCTCCCAGCAATTCCATGGCCTTGGAAGCTACCTTACCTCGATTTGGGGTTGTCTGACTCTCATCCCCCAAGACATCTTCTTCTCCTCCATAGGTACGGATGGGTGAGCGTGCATAGGAATGCTTTTGAATCAGGCTCTCCACACTTTCCCTAGGTTAGAGTGACACATCACAGGTTAACTAAAATGTAAAGGACTCAGAGATACAGAGAGGTCTTAGAGGTAACTCACTAATTAGTAAAGCCATTTTCTCAGCCAAAAAGCAACCACTGCACAGAAAGATGAAATTCAAAACATGTACATTTATTCTACTGTACAGTGACTCCTCAGAGACATGAACTCAGGTGTATGACTGCAAGCAAACATGACTGACTAGGACATGGACAATCCCCTGAAATACTTTAAAATGAAGGACAAAGGAGTGAACAGGAGCTATGAAACCTGACCACAGGAATATGGAATTCCATGATGTGAAAAATAATGAGTGACTAAATTTACTACAAGGAGCTGCAATGACTCTTCTTACTGACTTAATCAGCTAACAAATACAAAACAAATACTCAGTTGATACAAATTGCACTGATCCAACAACCGATGAAATGTTGGCAAAAAGTTCAAATTATCATTAGTCATCAAAAGACTCTAATACGCACCAAGAAATCAAACAAATTCATAGATCATCGTACAATATGGATAGTTTGGATAATGAACACTAAGATCCTTGTTGCTATAAGACTGAAAATTACAAAGAACCCATGAAGAAAACACAAATGGCCCATAAGGAGTTTTAGCCTCTAGGTAAATTGGTACATTGTTTTGTAGATGGTCTTCCTCCTGTAACATAGTCTATCAAACAAAGAGTGAGGTTAACTTTAAAAAATAAAAAATTATTTTGGCATTGGACAATTTGACCTTCTGCTTTAAAAAAACAAAAACAAAAACAAAAAAAGACAGTACAATTTTAGCCAATTTGTTTGCCAAAACTGCATACTGATAACAGATTAGTCTGCATGGCACACATTTCTGGAACAGCTGTGGCCCAAAGACCAATGCCAAACTGACCACCGAAGGACAAAAGAGGACTTACAAAATACATGTTAAATAAGGAAGGACAAACAAAACACCACATTTCATATTGAGGGAATAAGCACAGCAAATAAAATGTCATAATAACTTTTTAAAATGTTAACACTTCTCGACATTTCACATAAATAAGCAAACTTTACCTGTGAAAAATTACTACCTAATTCATAGTAAATTTGGTGTTGTAGAAAGCTTGTATACCCACATAGATGAAGGCATTTTATAATATATAGTATGACTATGAGGACTTAAGGATATGCCTAAAAGGAAAATTAATTCTGCAACTATTTAAGTTATATCTCTATTCTCAAATGGTTTTAGAGTAAGAAGAAAGCACCACCTCATATTGTCAAAATAACACAGCATTAACACATAGGTGTCAAAAAGAATGAGGTCATTCCATATGTACAGATATGGAATAATTTTCAAGATGCAGTAAGTGAAAAAAGTAAAATACAGAACGATATGTAAAGTATGCTACCATTTGTGAAGTTAAAACACAGGATATGTATGTTCACATATGCCTGCATGTGCATAGGATTTCTAGAATGTTCCAGTTTCCAGAACAAGAAACTGCCTAGAAGAGGTTGCCTCTGCAGGGTGAAACCAGGAACCTGAAGGATTGGAGTAGTGATTCTCAAATTTGTGTATATGTTTGAATCAACTAGGGATCTTGAAACAAACAAAAAAAACTATATTAAGATATGATTAAAATACAGAATGTGGCACATATTTAAAGTGTACGGGGCCGGGACCAGTGGCTCACGCCTGTAATCCCAGCACTTAGGCAGACCCAGGCGGGCAGATCACCCAAGGTCAGGAGTTCAAGACCAGCCTGGCCAACATGGCAAAACCCTGTCTCTATTAAAAATACAAAAATCAGCTGGGCATGGTGGTGGGCACCTATAAACCTAGCTACTCAGGAAGCTGAGGCAGGAGAATTGCTTGAACCTGAAGGCAGAGGTTGCAGTGAGCCGAGATCATGCCACTTCACTCCAGCCTGGACAAAAGAGCGAAACTCCATCTTAAAAAAATAAAATAAAAATAAAGTGTATAGTTTGATCAGTTTGGACATATGTACGCACCAGTGACAGCACTGCCACAAGTAAAATAACAAAAATATCTAACACTTACGAAAGCTTCCTCAAGGTCCTATGCTCCATGGTCCCCATCGCAACAAACCTTTCCAAGGAAACCACTAATATAATTTCTGTTCTTGCAGATTAGTCTGCATTTTCTAAACTTTTATAAAGATGAAATCTTATCTAATATCTGGCTTTTTTTATCTGGCTTTTACTCAGCAGATTTTAAGATTTATCCTGTTGGGGCACACATTAATATTTCTTGCTATGAGTAGCATTATATTACATGGATATATTATGGTTTATTCACTTATTGATGGATATTTGACTTGTTTCAGTTTTTGAATGTTACAAATGAGGCTGCTACACATATATATGCATACTTTTTAATAAATGGACATATACTTTTATTTATCTTGGAAAGACACCTAAGGATGAAATGACTAAATTGCATGGTTAGGTATATGTGCAATTTTTAAAGAAACTACCAAACTATTTGTAAAGTAGTCATACAATTTAGCATTCCCACCACCAGTGTATGAGAATTCCAGGTCCTCTATACTCTCACTAACACCTGATATGGTCAACATTTAATTTTAGCTATTGTAATATGCATATGCTGGTATTCCATCATACTTTTAATTGTGTTCCCCCAATGACTATAATGTTGAAGATCTTTTTCTGTGCTTATTTGCTTCCATATTTCTAGCTGTTAACATTCTGTTCATTTAAAAAATCAGGTTGTTTTCTGAGTTTTGAGATTTCTTTTTCTATTCTGGGCACTGGTGTTTATAGAATATAAGATTTGCAAATACTTTCTTCTAGGCTGTGGCTTGTCTTTTCTCCTTCCTAAACAGTTTCTTTCTAAAAGCAGAGTTTTTAATTTTGATGAAGTACAATTTATCCATTTATAATTCTAAGGATCATGCTTTTGGTGCCATATTTTAAGATCTTTGCCTAACACAAGACCACAAAAGTTTTCTCCTAATTTTTTTCTGAAAGTGTTGTAGTGTGAGGTTTTATGTTTGTGTCTATGATTCATCTTGAGTTAATTTTATATATGAATGAGTTATCAATTGTTCATTTTTGTGCTTATGAATATCCCATTATTTCAACATTACTTGTTGAGAAGACTGTCCCTTCTCCATCACACACATGTGGATCTGCTCTTGGACTCTCTATTCTATTGATGTGTTTGTGGAACTTGACACCAAAACTATACCGTCTTGATTATCCTAGCTGAATAAAAGTGTTAGTACTTTTGACATTAGAATTAGTACTCTATCTTTTCTTTCAAAGTTGTTTTGGCTATTCTAGTTCTTTGCATTTCCATATGAAATTTAATATTACTTTATCAATCTCTACAAAGAAGACTCCTGTGATTTTGACCAGGATTATTTTAGATCTACATATCAATTTGTACATAACTGACATCTTAATATTGCATCCTTCAAATTATGAACCAGTATATCCTTCCATTTCATTAGGTCTTCTTTAATTTCTCTCAGCAATGTTTTTGTAGTTTTAAGTATATACATCTTGCATATCCTTTGCCAGATGTATCCCTACTTTGTATTATAGTAAATACTGCTTTTTAACTTCAATTTCTGATATTCATTTATCATAGATAGAAATACAATTTATTTTTTATATTGATCTTATATTCTGTGAACTTGCCAAACACTTATTTGTTCTAGTGGGTTTTGGAGATTTGGGGTTTTTGTATAGATAATCATGATGCCTGTACACAAAGATAGTTTTACTTCTGTCTTTCCAATCACAATGACTTTGATTTTTCCTGACTTATTGCAATGGCTAAAACTACCTGTACAATGTTGAATTGGCAGTGGTAAGAAGGGCTGGGCACAGTGGCTCATGCCTGTAATCCCAACACTTTGGGAGACCAAGGTGGGCAGATCACCTGAGGTCAGGAGTTCAAGACCAGCCTGACCAACATGGGGAAACCCTGTCTCTACTAAAAATACAAAATTAGCTGGGCGTGGTGGCCCATGCCTGTAATCCCAGCTACTCGGGAGGCTGAGGCAGGAGAATTGCTTGAACTCGGGAGCTAGAGGTTGCGGTGGGTCAAGATTGAGCCATTGCACTTCAGCCTGGGCAACAAGAGAGAAATTCCGTCTCAAAAAAAAAAAAAAAAAAAACAAAGGAAAAAAGAATGGACTTGTTCTTTATCTTACAGAAAGCATTCAATTTTAAAGGTTAAAAATAACCTTTACCAGACTAAAGGTTCTCTTCTATTCCTAGTTTGCTGAGAGTTTTCAAGAATTGAGGTTGAATTTTGTTAAATGCTTTTTCTGTGCTGAGATAATCATATAGTTTTTAGTTTGTCAGTATGATCATTACATCCATTGAATTTCAACTGTTAAATCGACCTTGCATTCCTGAACTAGGCTAGGCCCTAGTTATTTATGTCATATATTATCATTTTTTTAATTCAATTTCCTAAAATTCTCTTCAGAATTTTTCCATGTATATTCATGAAGAATATTGATCTTTCTCTAGTTTTAGTATCAAGATAAGGCTAGTCTCATAGAATTAGTTAAAACTCTTCCCTCCTCTTCAATTTTCTAGAAGATTTCAGGTAGAATCGTCATTATTTCTTCCTTAAATGTTTGGTATCATTCACCAGTGAATGTGGACGTAGAGTTTTCTTTGTAAAAGGTTTTTAACTACAAATTCAAAATTATCAGAGTATCTGTTTTCTCTTGAATGAGTTTTGGTAGATTCTGTCTACAAGGAATTTGTCCATTTTGTTTAAATTGTTAAAATTTTAAGCGTACATGTTCACAATATTCCTTTATTATCTTTCCTTTTAATACCTGTAGAATCTGTAGTGATATTACTCCTTTCATTCTTGATTATGGTAATTTATATTTTCTTCCCTTATTTTCTTGGTCAGTTTGACCAGCAAACGGCCAATTTTATTAATCTCTGCTTTTTGTTTCATGGATTTTTCTCTACTGCTTCCC